TCTCTCTCTCTCTCTCTCTCTCTCTCTCTCTCTCTGTGCGTGTGTGTGTGTCTCTGTCTGTCTCTCTGTCTCTCTCTCTCGCTGTGTGTATGTCTGTCTTTCTTAGCCCGGTCTCTCTCTCTCTCTCTCTCTCTCTCTCTCTCACACACACACACTGGTCCATCTTTTGGTTGAAAGAACCACCCCTTCATGTTTGGGAGGACAAAATTAGCCCGGTTAGAATGCACCTGGGTCTCCGTAGTGGCTATCAGGCATGTGAGCATCTCTGCATCGAGGCTCTTTCTGGCTGGGCTTGTTTTATACTTTGCAAACCCGAGCGGGCCATCCATGTGCTTCTCCCTTTCTTTGTTTTTTTTCTCTCTTTTTCTGAAACGCTGAGTGTGCAGGGCCATATTCATGAAGCATGGGTACACCACCTCGGGCTGAGTGTTAAAAAAAAAGAAGAAGGGCCGTTCGACCGAGCATACACACCCCACCATTTGGTCAGCTCACCTCACATCACAACAGAGAAAAAGGAGAGGAATATGCAATACTTCCAAATACTTGGCATGTTCGACATTCACCCGCCCCCCACTTCCCACCCCTCAGCCCCGGATCCCTACACCAACCCAGAAAAGGGAAGAAAAATGAAACGATTTCTGAAAAAAGTGATGCCGTGGCACTTTTTTCTTGGACAACAATGGCATCATCATCAGCTTCATGATTCCACTACCACCTTCCCCTGAATATAACCTACAGTCATTATCGCTGAATCTTAGACTGAAAGTTGCCCCAAACAGACAGTTGTAATGACTGTCCTTTCTATTTGAGGGGAAGACTATAGCTGGGATTAAGCGCTTCCGACTGTTGATTTGCACGTCGATGATCGGAAATGCATAATCCCAGCAGATGGGATCTCACCGCATGGATGTGCTTTCTAAGGGCACATTCACACCCAGGTGTTTTTGGTATGTATCGGCTAGGGTTATGGTTGGATTCAGCCCCAAAACGTCCAAGTGTGAGCGCGGCTTAACTATGGAGTGCCTTCTGCAGGCTTAGATTCCTTCCATGGGCTCAGATTTTTATTTACATTTGCATCTGATTGGAGAGAATAGCAGGTCATGCATTACGGTCTCCTGCAAGACCCGGTTCCTTCATGGGCCCACGCTGCTCGTTTTTCTTTTCTTTTCTTTTCGGGTGGACAGGTGGCCTGGTTCTTTTCTTCGTTTTTCCCCTGGAGTGCAGGCGCAGGCGCGTGGTTGACCTTTTGCGGCTGTCCATCATGTTCGACGTTTTGGGGCGTCCACAGGTTCATTGCTGTTTAACCCCATTCACATAGCATTGCCCACCTACCAGCTACTTTACCGGCCAGCTCACATAGTACCACCCAACCTACACAGTATGATCTAGGCCACATAATATCACCCAGCACACATAGTATCACTCAGTCCACATAGTATGACCCACTGCACAGTGTGCCACTCAACCGGCTTAGTATCACCCAGGCCACATAATACCATCTTGCCCACATAGTACCACCCAG